ACCCGTACAGGAAATTGCGGCAGCAGCCCGGGTCGTAACGCCTTGTTTACGACCCCCTGTGCGGCCACGGACACGGCCACCGAGGCACGGATACGCTACGCGAGTGTGAAGCCCCGCATCCATCACACTGGTACGGACGACCAGCGTGGACACTAGGGGGCGTGGCCACGCACACGGACGCTAGCCCTGGACCACGGACGCCCGCCCTGGACCACGGACGCCCGCCCCTGGACCACGGACGCCAGCCCTGGACCACGGACGCCAGCCCTGGACCACGAACGCCCGCTCTGGACCACGTACGCCAGCCCTGGACCACGGACGCCAGCCCTGGACCACGGACGCCACGCCCTGGACCACGGACGCCACTCCTGGACCACGGACGCCAGCCCTGGACCACGGACGCCAGCCCTGGACCACGGACGCCAGCCCTGGACCACGGACGCCACTGGACCACGAACGCCCGCCTGGACCACGGACGCCACTCCTGGACCACGGACGCCACTCCTGGACCACGGACGCCAGCCCCCTTGACCACGGACGCCAGCCCCTTGACCACGGACGCCAGCTCCTGGACCACGGACGCCACTCCTGGACCACGGACGCCACTCCTGGACCACGGACGCCAGCCCCTTGACCACGGACGCCAGCCCCTTGACCACGGACGCCACTCCTGGACCACGGACGCCACTCCTGGACCACGGACGCCAGCTCCTGGACCACGGACGCCACTCCTGGACCACGGACGCCACTCCTGGACCACGGACGACAGCCCCTTGACCACGGACGCCAGCTCTGGACCACGGACGCCACTCCTGGACCACGGACGCCACTCCTGGACCACGGACGCCACTCCTGGACCACGGACGCCACTCCTGGACCACGGACGCCACTCCTGGACCACGGACGCCACTCCTGGACCACGGACGCCAGCCCTGGACCACGGACGCCAGCCCTGGACCACGGACGCCAGCCCTGGACCACGGACGCCAGCTCCTGGACCACGGACGCCACTCCTGGACCACGGACGCCAGCCCTGGACCACGGACGCCAGCCCTGGACCACGGACGCCAGCTCTGGACCACGGACGCCAGCCCTGGACCACGGACGCCAGCCCTGGACCACGGACGCCAGCCCTGGACCACGGACGCCAGCCCTGGACCACGGACGCCAGCCCTGGCGAACATCCAACAAACAAGACCTCAGCCCCCCCCCCCCGGGGCCCTCAACTCCTGACAAACAAGACCTCAGTCCCCCCCCCCCCCCCCCCCCCGGGAACCCTCTCACTATCGCGCCGTGAAGCCTGTCCCGCAGGCTTTAAGTTGGCGCACCTCCACTACCTCTCCCCGCCCCTCCCCTCTCCCCCTCTAACCCTCCTCCTTTAACACCCCCCAAACACAGCACCTCCTCACCCCCAGACCCCCAGCCACACTTCAGCGCCTCACCCCCTTGCCTGCTGCCCGCCCCCTGTTCTTGACGGCGCCACCTCCCCGTCCCTTCCGGTCCGGGTGGCATCAGCCCCTGCCCCTGACGGCCGCCCCTCAGAGGGCCGGGGCGGGCGGTCCCCCCTGAAGACACCTGCTCTGTGGAATGTTCATTAACACTGCGCCGCTCCCCTGCTGACACACGCCATCTCTTGGCGCCCCGTGTGGCCCAGGCGTGCCTGTCCACGCCGCCCTGTCTCGCTGTCCACGACTCTCTGTCTGGCTGTCCACGACTCTTTGTCTCGCTGTCCACGCCGCCCTGTCTCGCTGTCCACGTCTCCCTGTCTGGCTGTCCACGCCGCCCTGTCTCGCTGTCCACGCCTCCCCGTCTGGCTGTCCACGCCGCCCTGTCTCGCTGTCCACGCCTCCCTGTCTCGCTGTCCACGCCTCCCTGTCTCGCTGTCCACGCCTCCCTGTCTCGCTGTCCACGCCGCCCTGTCTCGCTGTCCACGCCGCCCTGTCTGGCTGTCCACGACTACCAATGTAGACTTCGTAACTACCACTTGTCATGGTTCTGACGTTATAAACTTACACACCAACACTACACCCAACACCCACACCCCACACCCACACTAATACCACACCCCCCACCAATACTACACCCCCACCAACATCAGACCCCACCAACATCAGACCCCCACCAACACCACACCCCACACCCACACTCCCACACCCACACCACACACCCCCAACACCACACCCCACACCCCCCCCCCCCACCACAGCCAATACCACAATTCACACACAAAAGGAAATATCCCATCCTTACGAGTCTCAATAAATATGATAAGAATAACATGGGTCCAGAGTCTGCTGTACACTACTAAACATCGAAAGGCTGAGGAGGGCTTAGGAGCTGAGGCTCGACCTTGCACTCCACATTTAGGGAGGGACACCGTAAATGTGAGTGCAACACTATACCACACCATGCTGCATCATACCACCCCATACCACACCATATCAGAGTGGCTGGAATATATATATATATAATTGCCTTTCGATAGACGCGAAGTAAGATTTGAGGAAGGCGGGGAGGTTATCTTGAGATGATTTCGGGGCTTTAAGTGTCCCCGCGGCCCGGTCCTCGACCAGGCCTCCACCTCCCAGGAAGCAGCCCGTGACAGCTGACTAACACCCAGGTACCTATTTTACTGCTAGGTAACAGAGGCATAGGGTGAAAGAAACTCTGCTCATTGTTTTTCGCCGGCGCCTGGGATCGAACCCAAGACCACAGGATCACAAGTCCAGCGTGCTGTCCGCTCGGCCGACCGGGGAGTTACGTAGAGAAGGGCAGGTTGTTAGTGTTGTGGGGAGTTGTAGTATTGGGGTGTGGTGGTGGCAGGGTTGTGGTGGTGGGGGTTTGTATTGTGGGGTTGTGATGGGGGGGTTTGTATTGTGGGGTTGTGATGGGGGGGTTTGATCAAGGTGATGGGGGGGTAGAACTATTAGGTCATGACATGGGCAGAGTTTCTTTCACCTGATACGGCTGTTCACCTAGCAGTAAATAGGTACCTGGGAGTTAGACAGCTATGGGCTGCTTCCTGTGTGTGTATGTGTGTGTGTGTGTGTGTGTGTGTGTGTGTGTGTGTGTGTGTGTGTGTGTGTGTGTGCGTGGTGTGCGTGTGTTAGAGAGAAATATATGTATTAGATATAATAGATGAAAAATGGATTAGTCAGAAAGGCGGGGTCCAAGAGCTAACAGCTCGATTCCCCAGACACAAATTGTAAACAAACTGAACAGACAAATACTCACACAGAAACCAAGGGGAAAATATTGAGTATTTACGTAAGTCCTATACGAGAATTTAACACTCAAACAAGCAAACAAATCAATAGCTCCCCCTCGCTCGTAGCGGCCACCAAATCCTCATTTGCATGATGTGGTGTCCGCAGTGGTTGTCTGTGGTGGTCTGTGGTGGTCTGTGGTGGTGGTAGTGTCCGCAGTGGTTGTCTGTGGTGGTGGTGGTGTCCGCAGTGGTTGTCTGTGGTGGTCTGTGGTGGTTGTCTGTGGTGGTGGTGGTCTGTGGTGGTGTCCGCAGTGGTTGTCTGTGGTGGTCTGTGGTGGTTGTCTGTGGTGGTGGTGGTCTGTGGTGGTGTCCGCAGTGGTTGTATGTGGTGGTGGTGGTCTGTGGTGGTGTCCGCAGTGGTTGTCTGCGGTGGTCTGTGGTGGTGGTGGTGGTCTGTGGTGGTCTGTGGTGGTGGTGGTGTCCGCAGTGGTTGTCTGTGGTGGTCTGTGGTGGTGATGGTGGTCTGTGGTGGTCTGTGGTGGTGGTGGTGTCCGCAGTGGTTGTCTGTGGTGGTGGTGGTGTCCGCAGTGGTTGTCTGTGGTGGTGGTGGTGTCCGCAGTGGTTGTCTGTGGTGGTGGTGGTGTCCGCAGTGGTTGTCTGTGGTGGTGGTGGTGTCCGCAGTGGTTGTCTGTGGTTGACATGGCAAGTCGAGCAGCACCTGTCTTAACCTGCACAAACATATCTCCATAATATTGGGTGACATTCAACATACAGTATAATGAGTGGTGTAGGGTAGCGAGGTTACCTTGCGCTACACCACACGGGTCAGGCGGGACCCAAGAGCCAGAGCTCAACCTCCGCGCAAGCACAACTAAGTGAGTACGTGTGTCCTGAGCGCCTGGTACAATGATCTTCTCGTAGAAGATCGTCTTCTTGCAATCTGTATTGCAGGATTAGGGGTTGCAATGGACATTTGGATTGGTAGGAGGTGGAGACATTGGGTGTTTCCGCAACCTGTCTGTATCTTGAGATCTTTCGGGGCTTAGCGTCCCCGCAGCCCGGTCCTCGACCTCCTCTTTGTTACACACACACCCAGGAAGCAGCCCGTAGCAGCTGTCTAACTCCCAGGGACCTATTTACTGCTAGGTGAAAAGGGGCTCCATCAGGGCGAAAGAAACCCTGCCCATTTGTTTCCGCCTCCGCCGGGGATCGAACCCGGAACCTTTGGACTACGAATACCAAGCGCTGTCCACCCAGCCGTCAAGCCCCTTCATTGTCCTCTTACAACAAAGAACGTCGCTTTTCGCTCGTATGCGTTACATAAGGCCAAAAATCGTCGTATTAAAAAATGGAAGCGGCTGGCGAAAGTGACGCACCGTCCCGTTTTCTGTTTTGGGTCCACCGGGTGTTAGATTAGGAAAGGACACTTTAAATTAACCGTTTTCTTGAGGTTTTTGAAACCTTAGGAGAACGCGTAGGGTGTTTCCGCGCTCTTCATTACACTGGTGTGTGGGTGTGGGTCCACAGTAGGTCGTGGGCCCGCCCGGTGGCCCCACGACCATCAACAGCGGGTGAAGGAGGCTGCCACGGCCGGACGTGACCAAGGCAGCAGCAACTGGGTCATGACCTCACACACTGAATGTCTAGTGGGCGTTAGATCCCTTACACATGCCAGCGTGAGGGACCGGCAGCTGTGCAGGGACTTCTACACCCTCGTGTTACTGGGGAGACACTCTCGCCACACCTCCAAGAGTGTGCCAGGGACTTGAGACACTACCACCCAACGGTTGAGTGAGCAGGGATGTGAGCATACCAGAGTGAGGTGTTGACAGCTAGCCCCATATAGGCCTGTGTGTGCTGGCGAGCCTTTATGGCGTTCTTGGCGGGAAGGGAGATATGCACTGGTGGGGAAGAAGTTGGGGTCTGTTGCTTCACTCTATAGCTGCTGCTGTTGTTGCTGTGGCTGTTGCTGCTGCTGCTGCTGCTACTGCTGCTGTTGCTGCTCCTGCTGTTGCTGCTGCTAGTCGAGGCATCTAACATCTCGCAAGTCACACCTCGCATCTCGTGTTAGTGCTGTCTTTAACTGCCGTATTGGTCTTAAAGTGCAAACTGCTGTAACAGGGACAACGCTTTCGAAAAGGACTTGTGCATTTCCGTACCCGCTGGTGTTCAAGGGCTTTAGATGCCCTGTACGTTGGTGTTGTGTCAGATTCCGCCACTGGGAACAAAACGTTCCAAGCAGCACGGGCTATGGTGAGCCCGTAGTGGACTTGTGCGTGTACACTGTCATCTCCCTCTAGCGCCTGCCAGCATCATACTCGGCTGTGGGCGTGGCGGGGGCTCTGATAAGGGAGGGGGAGGAGGTTGTGGTGGTGATGGAGGCGCGCTGTTGCGGTGATTCTGGGTGGGGAGGGCGGCGGGATGGGCGGAGGAAGCAGCTGGAGTCTGGTCTTCGTTAGCATGATGGATGAGCCTTCCGCGCCTTCTGCTGCTCTCCCAGCACGGAGTTGAGTCACTCGGGCTGGTTGGTGGTGGTGGAGCGCGCCGGGCTGCCCTGCTGGCTACAGTCAACTTCACCTGATAAGCAGCGAATTGAATGGGCAGGTATAGAGTGAGAGGGGGTGGTACAGGGTGCGGTGAAAAGGGTGGTACAAGGTAGGGTGAGAGGGGGTGGTACAGGGTGGGGTGAGAGGGGGTGGTACAAGGTAGGGTGAGAGGGGGGATAAGATAGAGAGAGAGATGATGGGGCAGAAGTACAGGCGAAGGAAAGTTGACTGGAGTATAGTACAAGTTATGATAGCAGGCGGGCTGTCCGCCTTGCTGACACGTTACCTGGTTGATGGGGTTCTGGGAGTTCTTCTACTCCCCAAGCCCGGCCCGAGGCCAGGCTTGACTTGTGAGAGTTTGGTCCACCAGGCTGTTGCTTGGAGCGGCCCGCAGGCCCACATACCCATCACAGCCCGGTTGG